CTCGACGCCTTGAACGGGCGTCGTCGATGTCCGGCGAGTCAGCGACGGCGGCGTCAGCGTCACATCCTTCAGGTCGCGATCCGCCTCGCCAGCGGACAAGCGAGCCGGAGTGCTCATATTGGTCCTGCTCTTCTTCTTCCGCACAGCTTCAGCCATGTCTTCGTCTTCTGCCATATCCTCGTCCGAGTCGTGCTTTCGCTTGTTGGATGGGGCGGCGTCCGCGGTTGCCGAGCCATTTGTGGTGGTCGATGCAGCTTGCTGGAGGGTTTTGATCTTTGCTGCGTGGCCTGGTCCTCTCAGGTGGCCTTCCCAAAGAGATTCGGACTTGATAGCTTCGTGGCAGAGGGTGCAGAGAAGCTTGCCCGCATCTGAGTATGCCGCGTGGGGATGATCGATTCGTCGAGCAGCTCGTTGCTGACGGAGGAGGGTGCGAACGTCGGCCATGTCGAAAGGAGTGCGTCTTTCTGACGCCTGAGAGCGCGCAGGAAAGTTTGAGGCCGGGTGTAAGGGTGGGAGTGCTCAATGGCTGGTGGGCGTTGAAGAATCGAAAGGGGATGAAATCATCGTTCGGCAAGCTAATTATCGCCAGAGCGACGTAGCGCAGCTGTCTGCTGGGGACGTGGAGTTGACAAGGTGGGACAGGTGAGACAGGTGACGCTAAGCCACATCCGGGCTAGATCTGCTGAATGGGGGGAAAGACCTACCGACGCTACCCCGGTGGCTCGGGCGCCTGCCGGGCCTGTTTGCGCGCTCATGAAAGTAGTCGCGTTCCTTGAGAGCCAACCTTGTCGACCTGGGAAGGCACTCTTCAACGCCCCTCCAACTTGCGCCGCCTTCAGAGGCAGAGACAGACACGGTGCAGTCTCTCGGACAATCAAGACAATGACCACTCCGCCTCATTGATACCATCTCACGCTCCCAGCCGACTCAGAAACCTCGCTCGACTTTCGCAAATATGGCCGACAACCCCGAGGAGCCATCGCAGAATGCGGTGGCCGCAACCTTCCCGAACCCGCCTCCCTTCTGGAAAGATTTTACACTCGAGAAGTTGGCTCGCATCGAGGACCTGCGCAAGGCCCAGGCTGAAAAGGATGGCGTCGAAGTCAAGGACTTGCCACCGCGCATGCCCAATATTCCAGAAGAGCTCATCAATCTGAACCCCCCATCCGAGCCAGCTTCTGGCACGTGGAAGGTTTTTGGGGCAAACTATACCGTGTGTTGGAATCCAGGATGGTCGTCGTATTCTTTGCAAGCTAACGTCTGTCTAGCTTGACGACAAACTACCGTCGCTGGAAGAGGGCGAGATTCAGCGACTTGCGCCTGCTCCCCCCGAGGAGAAGGACGGCAAGCACCTTGACCGTGCGTTTGAGCTCAAGAAGATGGCCAAGTCCATCCTGATGAACTTCCTCGAGCTGGTCAGCGTCATGGCCACCACGCCAGACGATGTAAGCCTTCTGCCATGTTCCCGTACGCCCGACCTCCGCTGACCGTAGCAGGGCCAAGCCAAGGTCGAAGACCTCAGGACGCTGTTTATCAACTTCCACCACGTCCTCAACGAATATCGACCCCACCAAGCCCGCGAATCTGCCATTGCGATGATGCAATCCCATCTCGATCGAACAAGAGCGGAGACGGCGGCCATCAATGCTCAGGTTGACAAGGCGAAGCGCCTCTTGGAAGGTTTGGGCAGCATCGAGATACCCAAAGTCCCGGAAGCGATCAGCTCGACTGCAGACGGGGAGATGACCCCGGAAGAGCTGAAGGCGGCGGCCACGGCACGCGAGCTGGAGGTTTGGGCTACCGCAGACGCCATGTATCTCTAGAGAGGGGACGAAAAGGTACCCGTCGAGAACGTTGACGGAAGTCCGGTGCCTGAACAACAGGCTTCAGAGGCCTGATCACGCGCCAAATATACCATGGAAATGTTACTTGCGGCCATCGAACGGTTACCTGACGCCAAGGAAAGGGGGATTGAGACCAAGAAAAGGTGTCTCGCGAGCTTGAAAGAGATGCATCTCGACGAAGAGAGCGATGCTTGGGCTGCGTCTTTCAGCAGCCCTGGCATGAGCTTGTGAGATATCTCTTGCACTACTCGTTTGAAGGCCAAGATCGCACAGAGCATGCACCTAAAAACAAGTCTCCTACGGCTAAGGGAGAAACCCCACAGTTTTTCGAGCGGGCACCGGACGAGATTCTGGAACTAGCTCTGTGGGTGACTTTGTCGGAGCCTAAGTCATATCTTGCATTCATGGAAGAGAACATGGCACCGGTACTGGACCAGGAGAACCTTCCGTTGGGCGTCGAGGCTGAAAACACATAAGAAAAGCCCTTAAGCCCAAAATTAGACCTCGAAAGCTCTTCAACGTTGGGAGCTGGTACGGCACTACGCACATACAATGGCGACACACCCTAAGGCTTTACTCGCGAGAGTACCTGGACATAACGACCAAGTCGATATCCGCATGGGAGGCACCACACTAAGATACGGAAGGGCACCACACTAAGATACGGAAGGGCACCACACTAAGATACGGAAGGGCACCACACTAGGATACGGAAGGATGGCGAAGGGAGCACTCAACTCCGGAAAGGAGGCCAGTTGACTATACTAATAAAGTAACAAGACTTCAACACGAATGGTATCTTCGCAGCCCAACACAAACCATACTCTCGAGTACCAAACCAATCCAACTGCAACTTTTTTTTACCGAAAGCCCCTACAATTAAACATGCAAAATTGTGGTTAGCTACTAAGCTTGAAGTCGAAAGTGTAAAGCAGAAGATGGCAAAGGACATGAGGCCGCCGCCATGATAGTTGTGTGAGGGGACAGGTGTCAATGAGCTTAAGACACCCGCACCTATGAGCGATCCAGGGCCTGCCGCCTAAACACTTGAGTTTCCCAGCAGCATCGTACAAACACATCTCCACGTCCGTCGCAGCGATCAGCAGGCTGAAAGCGAGTGTTGCCTGGCTTTGTGGAGCTGACTGGCTTTGACTCTTCGACAGCTGGAGTCGACGCCCCTGAAGCAAACGCTACCTTTATATCGGTACTGGCGTTGCGCTGCGCTGACGGGGTGCAGGGCGAGCAGGGAAGGTTCGCTCCCACGACACGGAGATAGTGATAGGATTGCCGAGTTGCCTTAGTCTTATACTTTTGGTAGGATGGGATGTCAAAGTATCAGAGAAGGGGTAACATGACAGTTTTGAAACCTTCTGTCTCTAGTCGTCCATCATTGCAGCCCGAAGCCGTTCTCATGTGCAAGGTGTACTCTGCGACGTTGTTATCGCCACCGTCATCTGCATTATTGTTGTCGTCTCTACTGCCGTCAACGTTGAGCGAATATTTCAAAATGCACACAGGAAATGTAAACACTTGAAACTAGGCGATCTCTTGGATTAACAAAGTGTTCCTGCTTGCCTCATGGGAATCTGGAAGCTCAATGAACCAACATTACTACAGAACGCCCCTGTGATGCAGCAGCGCCTCCAGCGCACCTGGAAGATCGTTCAAATCTGACAACAACCCTCCTTGCTCCTGCAACTTTATGACCTCTCTGGCGTTGTCTTCTGCCGCAGGAAAGTTACAACTCCTCCTCGCCTGACACATGAACATGCTGGCTCGGTAGGGAGGCAGTTTTAGTCGCTGCGGAGGACTGGGACTGATGTTGAGAGGACTTGGTAGTGCGGCTGGCCATGTCGAGAGCACCCTCAGTAGAAGGCAGGACCACACCAGGGTTGGCAGCAGTCGTGCGCGGAGGGGAAACATGGCACCTTGATTGCCGTCATCCTCTTGAGCAGCCTGCTAGGCTTGCTTGGCCTAGTAATACCGCTAGGTCTGCTCTACCTGTGCATACTGGATGCTGGTTAGGGTATATCTTCTGAGCGCCGTGGGGTATTAGTGGGCGATGAGAGGAAGCAGCTAGGTGAAATGGTTAAGAAGCTGGGTGCGATAACTAAGAAATTAATATTAATGCTACTCAAATCAGCTTCTAAATGTCCTCGTCATATCCATGCTGTTTTTTAGTGATGGCCTTTAACTGCTCTCTCGTAAGTTGAAGCTTGGTTTGCACGCAGGCTTTCTTGCATATTGTTGAGCTGTTGTGGTATTCCAGAAGAGTCTCGCGGTGAAGGCGAATAGCCTCTTGGGCATACTTGATGGGTTCGATAGGGCTACACGTCAGGAGCTGGTGCATTCCGGCCTGACGGGAAGTTGTCGGAAGGCACCCGTAAGCTGGCAGTTGCCCGTACGGTGGGCCGGCATTCAGAGTGGGGCAGTGTTCTCGGAGCGTGCATCGTCAAGGTTTCAACACGGCTCCGGGCGGGGAGCCCGGAGCTTGTACCGTCGGCTGTGCCGGCCGCAGTGCAATTGTCGCAGGGAGGCGTAGTGGGCTGTATGAGCCTGGCGGCGCCTACATGTTTAATCCGGCTCTGTCGACTTATTTCCACCGAATAAGACCAACACATTTACAATAATCATTATACGACCAAAACGTCAAATGGCGTAATTTCATACCAGGCTGGCTAAGTAGCTGCCCACACTAAACGAATAAGACTCCAACACACGGTATCATCGCGACCTAACTCATTCCATAGTCTCCCCTGGTCCAATCCAATGGCATTGTATTCTCTTCAAAGCCCATATACACGACGAAACGTGGAGTTCCACTGCGTCGCACCCTGCTGTCGCTGAAATCCCCTACATAACCGAGCAAGGAATCCTAAAAACTTGGTTAGCTATTGAAATTGCGTTTGGATCGATTGAAATTACGGCAAACAGCAGCAAGTGTAGCCATCGCACTGGCGCATTGAAGTTAGCAAATTATCCTGCAGTTGGTATATATTTGCTCAACGGCGTCTTGAACCACGTTTCGACCTCATGTTGAAAAGCGAGAAAGGGTTGCCAGCTGCCAGCTTCCGGTTGCCAATTCCGTATCTCTCTGGCACTCTCGCTGAGTGGAACTCAATTCTCTGGCTGTCTCCATAGCTCTACATGCTCTCTTCAGCAGACGTTGACCATCTGGCAGACCTGGGCCTTCTTGCTGGCCAACGCCCTGACCCTATCCTCGAGACTTCTCCTAACCTGACCTCTAAGCTCTAAAAGCTAGCTCTGTCGAGGCATAGGTCAGCCGGAGAGCCTGATCCCCTGAGAGGATCATAGGCAATGAAGGTCCGAGTGCCAGAGAGCACTGAAGAGAGTGCCAGAGAGCACTAGAGAGTGTGCCAGAGTTGACAGCTAGCAGGCCCTTGGAATGCTTGAAGGTAGGTGTATCTTCATCAACCCTTTGTACATACCTCGAGGCACTTGGTCTTTCCGCCAGTGGCTTCCGCAGGCTTGATAATGCTCTCAGCGATGGAAGTAGCCGCGCTGCCGGGACCGTTTCGGTTGACAAGGCCAGAAGAAGCTGATCCGCAAGCCATTTTGAAGTAATGTCGAGTTCTGTTGGGTGTGAAGGTGGTGCTCGACCAATCTACGACGCGCAGATATCAGCATACTGAGTCTGAAAATAAAAAGGGGATGAGAGTGACGTCACGGAAGATTGACATACATTAAGCAATAGTACAGAGGTGAGGAAGAGGAAGATTGCTAAACGGCAAACAACGCTGGGTGAGAGGAGGGAGTAAGAAAGTCAGTTATGTCTCCAATGCGCCTCAAAAGGAGAAAAGCGGTTCTGAGCCCGGTCGGCAGACAGCCTTAAATAAAACGCGTTCTCTGCTAATGCTTATGCTTCCCTGCCCCGGGCTGCTAAATCAAGGAGTTGTCGTCATGGATGTGGGGCAGAGACGACTCAAAGTGCAGGGAAGCAGCCAATGGCCAGCTTCAAAGTTGGTCGACTGTGGCTGAAGACGCGACTGGTTGCTGGCGCAGCCAAGTGGCAGTGAAAGCGCGGGGGTTGCAACGGGAATTCCTAGAGTAGGGAAGAGGATGGAAGAGCTGGAGCTTGTAGCCGAAGCATTGAGCAGGCGGTGGTGCATCAGGGGAAGGTGGGATAATAGTGTCACTCAGGTGAACTAAATGCCTGCACTTCATCACATTGTATTGCCCGTTTCAGCGGGTGGATGCCGATGTGGGCTCTGCGAGACCTTGCCAGGCTGTTGACTCGCTTCGTCCCCAGTGCTGGAGATGACCGAGATGAGACATCTTGGCAGGGTCTTCCGGGGAGGTTTTGGAGCTTCTACCCTTCACGGTCTTTTTGGCATTGTCTTTTCGAGGATTTCCACCGCCATGGTCGCAACTTTGTTGTTTTTTGGCCAATAGCATGTTGCGTCTAATGAGACGGCATAAAACCAGCTTAAGCCTGGAAATGGCACCGGTTGGCTTGTTCCGTATCAGTGCACCTTTCATGTCCAGTACCAGCATTTCACATTCAAACTGGCGGAAGAATCATTTGCCTGGAATTGATAATTGTAACAGTACTAGCAAGAAAAAAACCCTCTGCCTTTCCAGGCCTCTCTTCCCTCGCTGGGAATGGTATCTCCACCCCTTGAACCCAAGTAGAAGCTGTCCTTCAAACAATAAAACTCCAAACGAACTATGTACCGTGGCAGCCGCATGGACGCCGGTCCTTGCATGCTCCGGAGACGCATAAACACGGCGTGCTCATGCTGGCGGCGCAACTCCCTGAGGCGCCGCGGCTGCAGGAGCGTCACCGGCCTTGACAGGCTGCTGTTTCTCAAGCAGCTGGCTCAAGTATTGTAAATCTTCTCTGGCTTTCGGGTCTCTGTCGTAAATGCCCTTGATCACTTCCCACTCTGTCCGGGTCATTGCATGAGCATGTGGCATCAAAAAGGGAACAGTCCTGCTATTGACCAAGGGACCTAATACCTCATGAGCCAGGGCTTGGCCCTCACGTTGGCGTCTGTCTTGCTCGGCCTCCGGCCCTCTTGCCGCGGTGTAGCCCGCCGGCGCTTGGTTCGGAGGCACCGCTTGATGCGCGCCCTGCGTGGGATGCTGCGGCGCGTGGCCGTTGTGGCCGGTCGCGGGAAGACCAGGTTGTGCGAACGGTCCTTGCGGAACAGTTGGCGAGAAGGCCGGGCCAGATATCGAAGGATGCCTCGCCGGGAAACCAGCTTGGGTCGGCGTGGGTGAGTTCGCGACCGGCGACCTAGTCGCGCTAACTGGCTGTGCCTGTCGCGGGTTGTTCCTGTACACAAACACGCCCAGGAGCATCGGCTCTGTCCGCTTCGGCGGTACGACGTTGTCCGAAAAGTTGAGCATAAACTCGGGCAAGTTGCCCTCGCCTGGCGGAACGGGAACTAGATACGTGTCCCGGACGTTGGCCAGGCCCTTATCTCCAATGACTGCGTATCGCTTCTTGCCTACAAAGTAATTGAAGAGCTGCTGAAAGTCGCCCCGGGACGCCTCAGAAGCTGGCGACAATGCCACGACCACTATGTCGGTCTGGTCGGCGTAACGTAGACCGCAGAGGTACTCTATCGCCTTCTGCTCATCTATGCGTCCGGCTACCGTCAACCTCCTGGGGATCAGACTCGTCCATGGCAGACCAATGGTGCTCGCCAGGTTCGCTCCCGCGACGAACTTGGCCGCTGCGGGAAAATCGGTGATTGAGCTCATGACAACGTGACCTCGCCATACCACATCCGGGTCTGTCTCGTCCGTGGGTGAGTATGGCGGAGAATCCGTCTCTTCCTGGAGAAGTCTGTCAACATCGGGGTCAACGCCGGGTCCGTGGAGCGGCGCCGAGGGCCGGCGGATATGGCCTCCGGTGGGAGACTTGACGCTCGAAAAGACCTTGTTGATGTCAAAGTCGGGATGCTTGGGCGAGTGCCGAGCGCCGTGCGTGTCAATTTGCAGCCCGCTATGAGGGTCCGCCTCCCCATCTGTCTTTGCCTCACCATCTCGGGCGCTAGGCCTCCTGATAAATGAGCGAGCATCGTCAGATTGTTGAAAGGATTCGTTCTCGACAACCTCTTCGCCCTTGTGTGTCCTGCGCACTCTAGGTCCCTCTTCCGTGATCAGAATGGACTGCTTCTCGGAGATGGCCTTCAACTGCGCATTCGCATCTTGCCTCTCCTTGGTAGCCAGTTCGTCGGCGCTCATGGTGGCCAGCATAGGCGGAGACAAGGTGCGCTTCAAAAGACGCTTGGTCAAGTCGGCATTGATCTTGATGTTGGCGTACAGTGCCCTGGCCTGCTGAGCGTAGTGGCTACGGTCGGCGTGAGTATCATGGACCGCACGTTCGATCTCGAGAGCCAGGCGCTCAGCCTTGGCCGCGACAGTGACGTCTTTGGGCAGCGTCACACTCTTGTCCTTGACGGCAGCGGTAAGGACGCCGACAAGGGCCTTCTGAAGCAGTTGCGCAGAGCCCTTGCGATCGTCCGGGAGGTCTGTAATCTTGGCAGTCAGGTCTGCCGGCGGGGTATAGTTGACGATTGCAGCCTCGGGTTCGGAAAGCTTGCGCATCTTCTGGTTGGAAGCCTGTGATAGTACCAAGTCAGCACATCGGCCTAGCGGTCTCGACGAGTAGTAACCAACCTTTGAATCCTTCTCTTCGTCGCGAACCTTCCGCTTGCCGGTGGACGGCTTCGCTGCGCCGTCCTTCTTGTCCTTCTTCTCCTTGGTCTCCGACGGAGCGGGAGAGTCTTCTGCCTTGTTACTCCTGGCGTCCTGCGACAAGTCCTCCTTGGGATCGCTGGCACGCTTGCCAGCCCTGCCGCCCTTCTTCTTTTTCTTCTTCTTCTCGTTCTGTTCGTCCTCGTAGGCCTTGCGGCGGGCCTCCCAGGGGCGCTCGCCCTTGGACATGGCAGCCAGGAGCTCCTTGTGATCTTGTGGAGCGCATTGCTCGCAGTAGTAGTTCTTAGGGAGGTCTTCCGTGAAGACACTCATACCCATGCAAACATTGTGCTGCCACGCAGTGCATTTGTCGCATGCGATCCAGGGCTCTTCAGAGTCGCCGTCCTGTTCGGTCGCGCCGCAGACGCAACGGATAATCTCCTCCTCGGGCTCCTCCTCCTGCTTCTTCTTCCTCCCTCGCTTCTTGGGAGGCTCGATCGGTTGGTCGTCGAAGGCCTTGGTGTGCTGGCCCTTGGTCGCGCGCACTGAGCGGCGAGGCTCCGGTTCTCCTTTGCGCGGCATTCTGTTAGTGACTGTTGATGATCATGCTGAGGCGCAACGCGAAGTGTACCAGACAGGAGGGATTGGGGGTTTGGAAGTGCGAAAGGTGCGAGGGGTGGTTGGCTGTTTGGGCGGGGCTGCGCGACGGAAGCTGCAGTACTTACCGGACATGTTCGCTTTGTCGACGGCGGGAAGGCTTCTTGCCGTGCGTCTCCCTTTGCTAAGGTAGGTAGGTAGGTAGGGTAAGGTAGGTATGGTCGGCTGTGGCGGGGGAGAGGCAGGTAGGTATGGCTTGAAGGATTGGGCTTCCGTCTACTCTGGTTGCTGGTACAAAAAGGAGCAGTGGTGTTCTCTCTTAGGCATGCATTGATTTTTTCACGACAGCGAGAAGGACTAAAGATATGTGACCCATCCACCACGCGCCGCGACAGATGCCCCGGATGCTGTTGCTCAACGCGAGAAGCGAGCGCCGGCCACGCGGATCCTGTCTGAAGCGGTCTGTCACAAGAATCTCGAGCACAAGATGAAGAAGCAGCAGTCGCGCGACACAGTTCGCGACAGCCGAATCAGGGTCTGGAGGTGGGCGTTGAGGTGTTCGCGTGCCGCTTTTTTTCTGTTGTGTGGGAGAGCAGAAGGGAGCTTGCGCAAAGGTGGAGGTGACGGGCGTGGATGTGAGTGGGCTGGCGGTCGATGCGATAAAACGGCGCGAGGTTGGAGGGAAAATGCCGAATCGCCTCCACTCTTTACGCTGTTAGGTAAGCAAATCAGCACCGCTGGCTTGGGCCTTCCGCTGAGGTGCAGAAGGAGCAGCTCGCCAGCCGAGCCGTGCGTTTTGCCGCGGCGGGGGGTTATCATTCCTGCCTCAGGCAGGAGGTAGCTTGGCCCGGTGTCACCTTGATGTTCTTCCTGGCTCGGTGAGCTTCCACCTCGGTGAGCAACCGGACAATGAGGTAAGAATCCTGTACTCCCGGCAAAAGCTCGGGCCAGCGCTCTCACTTGGAGGTACGAAGTGGAAAGTACCCGACTGCACCGGGCTGGCTCTTACCTCAGCTGGGGTCCAGGCTGGCTGGGCAGGCGCAACACAGGAGCTAACGCGTGCATCGATTGCCTGGAGCTTCAAGCTGCACCCAAAGCAACAGCCTTCCCTGCCAATCGACAAACAACACATTCCGCCGCACAACACATCCATTTTCGTCGGCCTCACTCCGAGTCCGCTGCCACCGCAAATACACCGCCCGGATCCTGTTGATGCCAATTTGACCAGTCGCCCGCCATGTCTCGTCGTTACGATTCCCGCGTAAGGCCCCTCCCCGCTCTTCCCTTGCTCTGCTGTGCCCGCAGACCTACCGATTGAATGGTGAAGCAGCAAACTTACACAATCTCTCCAGACAACCATCTTCTCGCCGGAGGGCCGTCTCTACCAGGTCGAATATGCGCTCGAGGCCATCTCTCACGCCGGCACTGCCATTGGCATCCTCGCCAAGGACGGAATCGTCCTGGCCGCAGAGCGCAAGGTGACGTCGAAGCTGTTGGAGCAAGACACATCCGCCGAGAAGCTGTACATCGTCAATGAGTAGGTCAATTTACTTCCTGCCTTCTCTTCCTTAGGAGGATGGCATTGGAAAAGCAGCAACTAACCTACCCACCTCTTCTCCAGCAACATGCTTGCTGCCGTTGCCGGTATGACGGCCGATGCCAACATCCTCATCAACTATGCCCGCCAGGCCGCCCAAAGATACCTCCTCACCTACAACGAAGATATCCCCTGCGAACAGCTCGTCCGAAGACTCTGCGACCTCAAGCAGGGCTACACACAACACGGTGGTCTGAGACCGTTCGGTGTCTCCTTCATCTACGCCGGCTGGGACCCCCGCAGACAATTCCAGCTGTACCAGAGCAACCCTTCAGGCAACTACGGTGGTTGGAAGGCTACGGCCGTGGGTGCGAACAGAGCTAGCGCTGAGAGCCTGCTCAAGCAGGACTACAAGGAGGACTGCACCCTGAAGGAGGCATGCGGTATGGCGGTCAAGGTTCTGAGCAAGACCATGGACTCGACAAAGCTGAGTGCTGAGAAGCGTGAGTTCTTTCCGAATACGGCACGGTATTTAGCGTTTACTAATCGACCACCACAGTCGAGTTTGCCACGGTCGGCCAGACGGAGGATGGCAAGATCTACCACCGCCTCTGGACAGCGGAGGAAATCAAGGAACTGCTGAAGGAGCACGACTTGGCGAAGGATGAGTCTACGGAGGACAAGTAATGGCATGATGAGAATCAAAACATAGATTGGGCGTGATGGATGCCCTTTACCCTGATGTACCAATAGAATTGATGCCCCAAACCCCAGACAGGCTGATTGATGCCAGTGCATACGCGTAGCCATGATATCCTATGAATACAGTTATGTGACATGTTCAACAAACCGGACCGTGAAGGCAGATATACAATGGAAGGGCAACGAAAGCAACGCGAGTGAGGAAGGCGGAAATAATGTCAGCAATGACAACGACGGAGGCAAAAGGCAACGCAAGTAATACAAGGCAGTAATGCACGAAATCAATGCAAAAGTTGGCGGAAAGATGTGTTGCTGGCTGGCGCTGTTTCGATGCCCATGCTGATGCTGTTGATAGTGATGCTGTATCATTCGAACTCTACGGCGGACCCTACTTGCTGTAATTAGCGTCTTTGGCTGTCTAGCTGGGTTAATTCATAGCCTACGTCGGGTCGGGAATCCCCAGCTTCCTCCTCGTCACGCAGTCGATTCCAGCCCGCTTTTGGCTCCGAACCTGGGTATGGATGAGGCTCATGGCATTCCTTCGCAGTCAACTTAGGCCAGTGTCGTCGATAACTCCAGTATGCAACCACCCATCCTAGAAGCGATCCCACACATACGTCGTACACGTCGTGTCGGTAGTCCTCGCACCGGCTGATGGCGATCAAAGCAGCCCCAAGCAGGGGCACCAAACAGATCAACGCCCGGCTCAGATCACGGCCGCCGCTGTTGTGACGGAAGATGTGCAGCTGGCCAGCGAGGAAAATACTGAGGAACCCGAGACCAGCAAAGGAGAAGGAGGAGTGACCAGAGGGGAAGGACCGCCAACCATCGTGCAGGAGGTGATGGGCCTTCTCAGTGCAGACATCGATGGTGACAAGCAGGTCGGGCTTGGTGCCGGCAGCAGGCTTACATCTTGCCAAAAGGTCGGGCCTTGGCCGGCCAACAGCGTTCTTGATTAGGTCTGTGATAAAGGAGGTCATGATGACGGAGATACCAAGGCTCAAGTAAGTTACCTCATGCTTATGAGGTGAAGCCTTCGTCATGAGATTGTAGATGATTAGAACGCCCAGCGGCACGAAGAGAGCGTAAACAAAGTTCATGTCTGCAATCCTGGTCAATTACACGACACATATACATGGCAAATTGAGTTGAACTTACACACAGGCACACGCTCGACTTCTGCATGGGGATAAGAAATGCGAAGGTCGTTAATGAAGAACATGCGGTGGAATGGCTCGAGGAAGACAAGCATCTGAGTCAACAAAGTTAACAACAAGCTCTTTGGCGCAACCAGTCGCGTTGTGGCCTACCAGCATCCAGGTACCAAGCAGAATCGCGAACCCCAGGTAGTCTGGCGCATGGGTTCTCTGAGGCTCGAGTTAGACAGGTCCTGCAAACTCGCTGTAATTGGAGGCAAACATACCTTCCAGAAACGAGAGAATGCGGATGCCGTAGCATTCCCGCTTGATGCAGAACGACCGGGCGCCATCGTGAAAAGTCACTCTCTGCAGGCGCGAAGCAGTGTGTTGAGCATCGACAAAGACAGAAGTGGACGGCAGAGGCAATAGAGACGGCGACAGATACGGCAGCAGAGACACTCCAGTTGCAAGCAAGCGCCAGAGACTATCAGCCGTCACTTGATCAATCTGCAGATCCCCCGGACCAATTTGTTCCCTAGTTTGGTCGAATTGGTACGAACATCAAGGGGGGTGTTCGTATGTGGCGTTCAGCATTTGATTGGGAGAATCCGACAGCTGGTCACTCGCCGAGCTGCGACGGTTCGGAGATGCAGGGGTTACTGGGGGCAGCTAGCTGAGCTATCCGCACCTTCCTCAGCTCCAAGGCGACCTCAGCTTATCTTATCGGCACCCGACGTTTCGCCGTCAGTGATTCGTTCCTGGGCAGCCATCAACCGTCAAAAATCAACAATCGCTTTCTTCATCAACATCGAGACCACATTCGCTGCGCTTGCGCGCCGTATTGCTCAACATGCTCAGGTCCACGTACAAGCCGTCAGATAACGCCGCTCCACTGCCGCCTCTTCTGCCCGGCTGGACTGAGCATACGGCGCCGACGGGGCACAAGTACTACTATCACGCCGAATCGAAAGAATCGACATACACAAGACCCAGTGCGCCCGACGCCGTTGCCGCTGCACCTCAAACATCCGCGCCGCCGTCTGCCTCCGCGAGCTTCTTCCAATACCAGACGATCCCGCAGCTTTCCGATCCGAACGTTGCAAATGCATACCTGGCGCAGTACAATGCGCAGAACCAGCCACCCGCTGCGCAGCGAGGTGGGTTCGGTCACGGGGGTAGAGGAGGCAGAGACAACGGCCGACCGCGTCCGGAGCCCATAGACAAGCCCAAGTCAAAGACCCCTATACCCGGACATGAGCCTTGGATTCTTGTCGAAACAAAGTATAGTCGCCGATTCGTCTACAATCCGGCCAAGAATGCCAGTTACTGGAGAATCCCCGAGAAGCTGATGCCTGGCATCCTCGAGTTGGACAAGGCCAGGATACGCCAGAAGGCAGGAATCGAAAGCGCGGGTCCGGACGCCGAGGAGAGAACTCCCGGCGCGCAACCCAAACCGCCTCGCGACGTCAGTGAAGGATTGCACGATGACGGCAATGACGACAGTTCAGAGTACGAAGAGGTCGAAGTGACAGACGACGAGGCTGAGGACGACGACGGCGAGGACGGACACAACTCCAAGCGCCAGCGCACGGAAGAAGCAGCCGATGACGCAGTGGTGGAGTTTAGCGAGGCTGATATTGCGTTCCAACTGCAAGCAATGGGCGAGGCGTACGGACTTGACCCCGGCGAGTACGATGACGGAAACATGGACGAATGGCCCGAAGGCGCAGAGGGCGTAGAGTTCTCGCAGGAGGACG